CACACACACACTCACACACCCTGGACAGGACGCCAGCCCATCACAGGGCACACACACACACAGACACACTCATACACCCCCGGACAGGACGCCAGCCCATCACAGGGCACACACAGACACAGACACAAGGCTGCACACACTCATACCAGGGCCAATATTCCCAGAAGCCAAGTAACCAACCAGCATGCATGTCTTTGGACTGTATTTCACGGTTCATCACCTTTACACGTGACGTCATTGTTCCTCCAGTGCCCTGTTAACTCCATGTCCAGTGATCAGGATGCCCCTCAGCTTGGTGTTACAGTGCACGTGAAACACTGGATTAACATTCACTGTGATAACCGCAGAGGTCTGGGAGTCGTGAGATGAACCCCAGAGCAGGTGAGGCGGTGATGAGCAAGCGGGCAAGCGTGAGCAGGAAAAACACAGACCAGAATCGTGGTCAGGGAACGTGCGAGGGTCGAAGCCTGGAGACACGGTGACACAGCACAAAAGGCAAATCCAAAGCAGGGTGGAGACAAGCAATCCAGGTTCGCCGACGAGGAGAACACAAGGGAAACCCACAGCCTGGTCAGAATGAAGCAGAGACGAGAGTCCAAAGAGAAACACAAGCGTGGAAAGCAAAGCTAGAGACTAAGGCAGTGGCTATAGAGTAAAACTCTATAAAGGAGCCCAGTGTACTGTCACACCAGGCCTTAGATAGCCTGTTTCCTAACAAGGCAGTTGGAGACAGAGGTGGAACAGACTTCCTGTCTGATTTATAACCATGGCAACCAACTGACAGACAGAGGAGTAGGGGCGTGACTGGCTGCCATGGAGACGCTAGCTTGTTCAGAGCAGTGCTCCAGCAGGGGCGACCTTGACACACCCTGTGCACTGCTCCCCAGAAATCACATCAACCTGGAGCGCTGTGCTTTTAAAGAACAGCGTCTGCCGGTGAGCGGGGGAAACCATGCCTCACATCACCATGCCTTGACAGGAGTATTTAAAGTCTGATTTACAAAGACTCCAGTTTTTCTATCTATTTATCTGGCTAACACCTTTGACCAGGGCTACAGTACATGCAACGCATGCAATAAACAGAATACTGATATTTCAAATGTGAAATTTTAAAACAAGAAATGAATACACCTGCTGATCCGTACACTTTCGTTTCTGATCTCTTTTTCACTTCAGCTAAATATTATAGGCAGACAATGTCACAGGCGACCTGTCAAGAACAGGTCCTGATCTTTTAATTACAGGCTAGGAGGCTCAGAAATTGTTCATCCCCAACTCCCTCCTTCCATGCTGAACAGTGCTCTCTGTAAATAAAGGCAACTTTATCTTCATGGCATTGCTAAAGAACTTTAAAACAAAGTCCATCTGTTGCTGCAGCCACTGATTATTTCTTTATACACTAGTGACAAATTGCTAAATTATAAAAGGCCAGAGTGCTCAGACTGGTCTCTGCGTTAATGCCACCTTTTGAGAAATAAACAAACAGACTGCTGTCGCGGTCACTAAAGCAGATGGCAAACAGCATCAGGGCCTTGTGAGAAAATCCCAGAGCCTGAGACTCTGCTTTAGTCCCTGTCCTGCAATAAGAGGTGAAAACAGATGGTTTTTACACAGGCAAACCACAGGAAGTACTCACAGTGCAGCTCACAAACAGGCACCACATGAAACTTCTCCTCTTATTCAAAACACCCATTCACAAAACCACCCGCACAACAAGCAGCAGGAGTGAGGAGTCAGGAGATGGAACTGTTCTGAAAAATCTGTGGATACCTTTACACCTCGAAGATCACAACAACATGGTTAACAATAACTCTACCGCAAAAATACATGAATTCAAACTGTAAAAATGTGTGGAACAAGATACGTTGTCACCTTCATTACAAATACCATGTAGCAACCGGAGCCCAAAAACGCCAGCTGGGCAGAATGCCCTCTTCTCACAGGTAATCTTTTGAGGTCCCTCAAGGAAAGAATGGCATCAGACAAAATCTGCGATTAATGCAGTCAGTTTCCTGCATTTGTGGGATGTTACTGAATTATGGCTTTGAATTGTTGCTTGATCTGAGCAGCAGCAGTGTGTAAGAATCCGACCATACCATAGGGTCACAGGTTCAAACCATGCACTTATTCACTTGCATTTATCTGCTACTGTTTCCCACCTTCGGACAACATACAGTGCTGGCTGCTTTAAAAAACAGATTGCCCAAACAAGCCGGAAAAACCAAATGACCTCCTTTAGCCTATCTTATGCTCTGTGTTCTGAAGACGTGGGCTTCTTGGCAGGATCTTATCTTCACTGAGAGATTTATAGCAAAGTGGGGCCTCTCAAACAGCTCAGCCAGTGAAGGCGGGTTCTCGAGCTCAGGTCAAGCTCTGTGACGGCAGGTCTGTGCCAGCTGTGACCAGGACTGCCCAGGCAGTGGCACACAACTGGCAGAGCACTGCAGAGGCAGGGTGGGATAAGGTGTCCAGAATTCCCGCTCTGCAAAGTGACCCCTGTGTCCTCCTGAGCGCTCACAGGCCAGGTGCTGTTGGTGAAGGACGGGAGCCCACACAGCGCAGGGCTGTTTGAAAGACCAGTGGCCTGAAGGTGGGCTTGTTAGAGTTAGGGCTGGGGTCAGGGCCTGTAGCTGAGATTTGGAGAAATACCCAAAGGCTCTTCCAAAATCAGGTGGAAATAAAGCAAATATCTGGCCATTCTTAATTTAAGCAAAGAAAACAGCAAGCAAGGCCCAAAAGCGCCGTCTGATTGCTCTTTAAGACAAGAGCAGGAGAGACACCGCACACGTGGGAAAGCCACTCTTGAACCACTGCCCACCTGGCTTCCTAAAAGCTTATTTGGGAAACACTGTCTGATCAGAAACACTAACGTGACATCCAAGCTCTGATTATTAATTACGCACTTCCAAAACAAAATGTCAAAGTGAAGGACGTTACATTTCGTCTGGAAAATGAGATGATCTCAATTCTGCTCCAGCCTCTGCTGAAGGCGTTTTGTCAGCCCCCGGCCAGCGCTCCAGCAGAGCTCGTACGCTGCCTGGGGACTCAGCTGCTTGCCTCCCCTCGATCTCCAGCACTCCAGCCCCGCCAAGCAGACTGCACAGCACTTTATTTCCCCGCCGATCGCTATGGAAACTCTGAAAACGCTTCGCCACTGGCTCTGTACCCACGCTGGAGCAGGGCCAGCTGGCGCCGTTTCCCCGCAGAGGTCAAGGAAAAGGAGCCAAAAACCTTTCAGCCAGCGAGAGCGGCCCATCCAGAAGACACTGCCGTCCTCCCTTGGGGAACAGCAGTAATCAAACGCTACACGAGGGATCTGACCCGCCTCTGCTCCCGAAACGCGCAAGGACCACGTTCCTGTCAGTCACGGCAAATATCCAACATGCGTACAACGTTCCTGAAGTCAAATTCATTTCAATGGTACAGAAAGGCCTGAAACAAAAATGATGAGAATAAAACAACACCCCTGTCCAATGAAAAAGCCCAAATTCACACAGACTGTCTGGCCCACTGGTTCAGGCCTCTTATGTCTCTTACGGTTTCCATGCTGTTTTTAATCCCAGGCTAATTGATTTCAGTTTTTTATGGGGCATATTTGCTTTCATCTCTTTAAAGATCAAAAGGGATGTTGTATCAACTTTGAGTGTCAGAAGTGTGCTCATCTATATGTTTTTATATTTAATAGTGTCATTCCTTCCTCTGGGCGTGTCTGATACACTGTTACTGCTTCATGTGGGCGTGTCTGATACA